ATGCAGTGAGATTCCCTGCAAATCAGCAACAGTCAGTTTGGATATGCAAATACACTGGAGAAGAATGGAGCTTTGTATTATGATTTGGATTGTGATCAAATACATGTATCATCTAAAATGAGGCTAAAATGTTCTGTGGCTATATGATACAAAATATACTGTTATCTAAGTAACAATTAAGATGTGTGTACACATCAAGGAGAAGGAAAGATATACATGTGGATTCTAATTGTGTGAAAAAATGATACACAATTGTCTCCAACTGAGAAAGTGAAACATTTGATATAACTGAAATATGTGTTCGGGCAAAAGTTAAAAAAAAAACAAGTATATGAGATTTTTTATTTTTTTTTGCGGTTCAGACATCTAGAAAACCTAAGGGCCTGTTCACACGACGTCCGGATTCTGTCCTGACCAGATCCATGTACTCCTGCACTAAAAATGCATCCCAAAGTATCCCTATGTGTTTTATGGGCTACAGTTCTCACGTGCGCAGTCCGTTCAGGTCACGACAGAAAAAATACTGCCTGTCACATTTTGTCCGGCCCGGATACGGTCAGGAAACGCACAAACGCATCAAAAACGCGGCAAAAATGTACTGCACTGCAGCTAACATACTGACAGCCCCAGTCCCCCCCAAAAATAAAATTTTTGTTTTTTTAACTGGAATGCGGCAAAAACGCAGCACAAACATGGCAAAAACGTCTGCCCCGCGTCTGTATTCACTCGGCTGCCCTCGGCAGCTTTGTGAATAGACCCCTATGTTTGCATTAATACAATGTTTGTATAGAATAGCGGTTAACTTTTACTTATCTGGGATATTAATTTAAGTGTGTGTGTTTAATATTTGTGCATCACACATTAAAGAGGAACTCCAGGATTTCAAAAACGAATCCCATGCAGTGGGGCTACCCCCGCACTGAGTTAACTGCTCATTTTGCTCTAGGGATGCAAATAAAGAAAATATAAGCAACCTCTTTTTCCCTGGGATCTTCACGTCTAATGCAGGTCCCTTGAAGTGCATTAGACGTGTGGACAATGCGGGACATACCACAGCTGAAATGGAGAGGAAGAGAGGTGAGCCCTGACTGCTGCAGGACTGAGGATCAGGTGAGTATATCTTCTAGTCCTTAGAGAAAAATGAACATCTAACCCTTGCAGGGGTAGCCCCACTACAAGGGTTAGTTTTATAAAAAACCTGGAGTTCTTCCTAAAGTTTGGGTGCTTTTTTGCATTTATTTAGGATTGGATATGGATTTTTTTTCAGGTATATCACCTATAAAAGGCAATGCATTTAAAATGTTTGTAGTCCCTGACAGTAACCGCAGTCCTACCATTCTGGCCCAGATGGCCATAGTTTTCCTTCTTGTATCAGCTTAGAATTCAGGATCCATTTTCACTGCCACAGAGGCATGACTTTCATTCTCGAGGCATTTTGATCACTACTTTCCCAGTTCAGCTGAAATGGATGGTTTAGCCCTTGACAGGAACAGGCTCAGAAGAAAAGGCTGCTCAGGGGTGGTGGTAAACTCCTTACCAGAACACTGGGAGTAAACCAAGTGTATAACTGGATCTTGGAAAACTTCAGTTGGTTTTCTGTAGCTCTCGACTGTGATCCAGAATAAACACAAGAACACAACATACTACCCTTTTTTACAGACAGGGCTAGGACTGAGTCTCACTTCACTAAAGCCCCATTCACATGGCAGCAGTACGGATTAGATGTCACCATTGTGACATCTATGTCTATCCATTTTTTTCCTCCATTTTCTGATGGAGAAAAAAACTAAACTTCCTGGACCCATGTTGGGTCTATGGGGAGTTGGATGTAAACAGGCATGTGTCTATTAACATCAGATTACTGCCCGAATTGGGAACGATTCGGACCACCAATGTGCAACTCTATTCAGTTTGGTTTTCTTGACCTGGCCGGAGTCGGAGGTAATCAAATGTAAAAAAATAAAAGGCCGTTTAGATCGGGCCTCCCATAGACTAACATTTGGCTTCTGATCAGATCTGCCTGAAAAACAGAGAGGGGGACCTGATCGGAATGCCCTTCTGAAAGCGGCCTTAGTGTCCAGGTCTCTGCCATATTGGGTTTCACAAAAACAATGGAATGGAATCTGTCTATGAGGCTTTACTACCACGTGGGCCCATCGTTTGAGCCTCTGGAATTTCAAGTTGAAGGCAGCCTTTCTAGTTACTGTTACCTCAGCTAAAAGGTTTTCAAGCATTAGAGCACTGGGGTACAACGAGGCCTTTCTTTTGTTTTTGCTTGACAGTGTCATCCTCATTCTGAATCTGGAATTTCTATCTAAAGTACCGTCCAAGTTCTATGTCAATTAGAACAACTGTCAGAACAACTGTTTATAATTCCTAGAGGGAGAAACAAAGGCAAGGAGGCTTCCCTGAAACACTTTAGGTGTGAATCACCAAGGTCATAGACCTATACAGTGAATCATTTTCCAGCACCAGAAGGAGCACTCATCGCACAGTATGTACACCTCATGGGCAGCATCACAGATGGTGTCCATCAAAACTACCTGCAAGGCGACAACACAGTTAACTCCAAAACATGTTTCTGTCTCACTACTGTGTACATATGGCTTACTAATGTAGAATTTGGACACAAAGTATTGTCTGCTGCTTCCAAGAAAAATTTAAATTTATTGCATCCCACCCAGTTTGTGGTAGTTATTTCCCATGTATGATGCCATGGAGATGTCAGGAAAACAAAAAAATGATTACCAATACTTACCATAATTGTTCTTTCCTGACATATCTCCATGGCATCAAACGAGCACATGACTAGTCCATGGCTCCATGACTAGTAGGAATATCTAGCCATGGAACACCCCTGCTTTTATTGAAGGTTCAGGAGACGTTGAGCAGGGGGTGGAATCAAAGAATGTAAGTAATGGTGATCAATTCTCAGTTGGGCTTATTCACACAGGAATGGCCTTCCTCAGTACATAGATCATGGTGCAGTATGCAGAAGCATAAACATAGGTTGCTGTGCAATTATGGACATTACTCCTTTAGCTAAATTGCAGGCAGATATAAAAAACATCAATAAAAATATATAAAAACTTCACCGATAGTAGAGTTTACTCAAATTGTGGCAATCATCCATTTTTGTTGGACTTGTCTTTCTTTGGTTCGTTTGATATAAAACACATACAAATTAAAGTCACTCCAGATTTATTAATTTATCATGCAATGTATTTTTTCATTTTACACAAGCAGTGTAAGTACCTGAATATGACTTTGTATCCGCCTCTTGCAATCCACTGTACAAGAGAGCTCAGACCAAGAGGGAGAAGCAGCACAAGAAGCCAGTCAGTTGTGCTGCAGTGTTCAAGGTATGACAAGGAACATGCAGAGAGGAGGAGAAAGCAGAGTGACAGAGAAGTGAGCTCATCGGTCTTTTAACTCTCCAGTCACAGTGTAAGAGAAGGACAAGACCTGTAAATATTACTAAAGTGCAGCAGAGGGAAATTAGGTCTTCTCCAATGCCAGAAAGGGCTGTGCCATGTGACAGAATTGTGTAAATCTCAGAACTGGATGAATATAAATACAAATGCAGGGATAAAAAGAGATTTACTAACTTTTATTAAGATCTAACTTTTATTGTGATCCTCTGGCTTTAATACTTTGAGCTACTGCCCCAGAATATTTATGCATCAAGTTAAACCAGAATGAAATCCTAACTCCTACATAACCTTTGTCAGTCAGCATCTAAAAGTATAAAAGTCGGAGGATCAACATGATATAGAGGTCAGCTATGGCATCTTATTTATTTCATGATAATGATGTATGTGTACCACAGTGCCGGTACTGAGAAAATGTGTTACTCATCTGAATGAGTCATGAGTAGACAACATGTGTCCCCGCCAGGGGTGTATCTACTGCAAGGCAAACTAGGCATTTGCCTAGGGCGGCACTTTCCAGGGGGGCGGCAGAAAATGCGCCCCAAACCAATGAGGTGGAAAGAGCCGGACTTACCTTTGGGCATACTGGGTACTTGCCCGGTGGGCCGAGGCTGGGCCGCACAGAATCAGGCAGTGGCCCTAAGAGTGGCTGCCTAATTAGAGAGCTGCTCGGTAGAGGGGAGGGCCCAGTGAGATGCAGTCCAGCTGGCTTTGTACAGGAGGTGGAGGGGAAGCAGCGGATGGCTCGGGGCTGGCCATATCATGTGAGCTGATGGTGGGATGTCCCAGAAGCAGGCTGGAGGACTGCAATGTATCCTGTTGGTACTGATGGCACTTTGGGCTGCTTGTAAGTGGAGCAGCTTATGTATCAGGGAAAGAGACTCTGCACAGCCCTCCTGAGACCCTGCACAGCCCATCATAGAACCCACGCAGCCCACCATAAACCCTGCACAGCTCTCCCGAGACCCCGTGCAGCCCACCAGAGACCATGCACAGCTCCCTTGGGACCCCGTGTTTGCTGTATCCAGTGACTGGCAGGTTGCGCAAAATGTCCTAAACAGGATGGGGTGGGGCAAATTTAGATGGGGGGGGGGGTGCCTGAGTTTAGTCTTGCCTAGGGCAGCACAAAACCAAAATACAGCACTGGTCCCCGCTCCTCAATTTTTGTGTTGATGCAGAAGAAATGTCACGTTTTATTTCTTGTTACATAATTTTTATAGAACTATTAAAAGCATTGCTAATCAACTACTGCAGAAACAGTCAAAGTGCAAAGTGTTGCCTAATTAGAGTTGACATTGTCTCACATTTGAAAATAATTCTAGTATCTGAACCATCTATAGTCCTTGACTGTATTAGAAGCTGAGTATATACAAGTAAATATAAAAACATAAAAACTATAATGAGAAAGGTTATATTAATCACAGAACACAGACAGGTACCAGGGGCACCTATAGGCTAATTCACCACTCACTTCTTGCTCTTAACTGCTTTATTGAATGAGCCAATTTTCGTGCTTATCCTCTATCACGCATCTGAGCGATTCCTGCTTTTTGGAATTCATGGTGTTTGCTAAGTTGGTCTTGGTAAATTCCTCCTTGCTACTCGATCAGCAATGAATGTTGGAATGTAAGAAAGTGGGATAAATAATAACTTGGCATCCCATCCCGCAGAGTATCTTGTCCATGGGTAATAAGCAGTCAGTGCATGCTCCATACAGTTTGTCACCTTGAAGATCTTGGAAGAGCCAGATGAAATTGCCATACGCAAATACTGTATATCTATATTAAATATATAAAACAAAATGGTAAATACAAATGTCATATTGCTTACACGTTTATACAAGCATCACTATATATGAACCTTTTATTTACCTGATCCTTTGTACTACAACCCTCAAATGTGTGCCCATCCATAAAAGGTACCTCTATAATACCATGTTAATTTTTTAGGGAAGCCTTAGTTGGTGTTCTTAGTGTAACAAAGGCCTACTACTTTAAAGTGTATTACTATCTTTGCAGCACAATTTGAAACCCCCCCCACTATTTTTGCTATATGTTCCCAATAACAAAGCATATCTAAAAATAATTGTAAAATATAGATCAGGGATGCAAAAAACCCTAAACCAGACCATTAATCTGGGCAGGAGCCTGGCAGGACAGGAAAGTCCCAGGGGCATCTGGGTGCCCCTGGGGTACCCAGATACCACCCCCTCCTGCACTAAAGGGTTAAATAAAATGTAACTAAACACACAACAAATTCCTTAATTGAACAAAAAAAAAACACGAATTCCCAACAATTCCCTTATTTAAAAGTCCAACATTTTTTCGGTTGTGGATAGTCTTTGCTTTATTAAAGAATTCTGGGCAGAAATGTTATTAACCATTGCAGTGGGGCTACCCCTGCACTGCAAGGGTTAAGTGTTAATTTTTTGCCTAGATTTAAAAAAAAAAAGTTATACTCACCCGATCCTCTGAGCCGGCAGCTGTCCCCTTCAAGCCTCTCTCCTCTGCTGCAGCGATGGTATGTCCCTCAGTATCCTCATGTCCTATACACTGTATTGGAGGTGATGATTCAAGGATTCCTAGACCACTGCAAAGGAGGGGAGAGATGCTCTAGGGGACGGTTGGCCCTAGGCACAATGGAGCAGTTAACCATTGCAGTGCGGGGGTAGCCCCACTGCAATGGTTAAAAGAGAACTATGGGGTAAGTGTTTTTCCCCATAGTTCTCCTAAGGGTCAAGGGAGCTACAGCTCGTGGTATACTGAGATCGCCGCAGCCGGGACGGATCCCGACATTACTATCGAGATCCACCCAGCTGCGTGATTGACAGCTGGCTCTGCCTATCTAGAGGCAGAGCCAGCTGTACCCGCCCCCATCCGTTCCGCCAGTCAGTGCTGGAGGATCGGAGCGGGGAGGGGGGAAATCCCTGCAGGGAACCGTGACTGACAGTCACGGCTCTCTGCAGGGACATGATCGGGAAGTGAGCGAGCGACAGTATGTGTTCGCTCACTTCCCGACCTATTGAGCCGACGTGTGACAGTTTCATTGTCACATGTCGGCTCGAACTATGAGGTTGAGCCGACCTCACCTCATAGTTCTCGTTAATAAAATGTTTTCTTTAAATAAGCCTAAGAGGTAGCCTAAGTGATGGTGAAGAATACATTTTAATAAATCTCACATTTCTCTTTGTACTTTTCTCCATAACTCATCTTGGTCTCCGATGGCAGAGCCTCCCATTTTTCGCTTATATTCTTCTCATGCATGGACAAGTTAATAATACCGGTATTGAAACCTCCTGGTTCAACTATAGAAACCCTAATGCCAAAATCCATAACTTCCCGTCTAAAAGAAAAAAAATAAACAAACAAAATCATACCATAAGACACAGCTGTTCCACATTTAGAAAACCACTCTTTTCAGTTTGATATATAGCCCTAGCAAATAAAAGGTTCAAATTTGTGTTTATGGTTACAAATACCAAACATGATGGACGTTCACTGATCAAGGCTACATAAAATAAAGGGAATGTGAGTGCCGCAAAGTCATTGTTATTGACTAAGATTGTGCATATTGGTAAGGGGCTGCAATTTATTTGTTTGTTATTAATTTGTATTCTGAGAAGCATCCCGAACCACGTACTCATGACATGGACTATCATTTAAGTTCATGAGGGCATTCCAGTATTCTGATAGCAAACAACCACCAGCATTCCCACATAATTTAACAGCAAGTACAGACCTCAGAGGCAGAGAAGCGATCCATTTCACTGCTTTTCCCTGCCCAAGGCCTCACACTTAGCAAGCTGTGACAAGTTGAATATTTGCTTGGCCTACTCACACAGAACAATGCCCTCTAGCTTGATGCATGTGCCTGAGAAATACATTATGCTTTGTTGGCCCACAATGGTGGGAGAAAAACACTTCTGAAATCTCCAGAAAATGTTTGAGAGTGTCTGCCAATTCTTATGACAATCATAATTTCAGATCTATAGAGACCCTTAGGAGGACCACACTGGTGGATGTACTCATTGTGTACACTGAGCTGCTTAGCGTACATAGAGCAAATGCTTCTGAGACCCCGCAGAGCCCTGGTGAGACCCTGCACAGCCACCTAAGACCCCGCACAGCCACCCTGAGACCCCGCACAGCCACCTGGAACCCCGAAAAGCCCATCTGAGACCCCGCAAATCCCATCTGAGACCCCGCACAGCCTCCTGAGACTCCGCACGCCACCAGAGACCATGCACAGCCTCCTGAGACCCGGCACAGCTTATCTGAGACCCTGCACAGCTTATCTGCGACCCTGCACAGCCACCTTAGACCCTACACAGCCTCCTGAGACCCGCACAGCCACCTGAGACCCAGCACAGCCTCCTGAGTTCCACATTTATGTATAATGCATTGCTGGGATTTGTAGTCCTCTATAGCCAATTGCCACTCTGCATTGCTGTATAACGTATTGCTGGGATTTGTAGTCCTCTATAGCTGCTGTTATTCTTCATTGCTGTATAACGTATTGCTGACATTTGTAGTCCCTCTGTAGTCAGTGGCAGAACTACCAGGAGACTGGGCCCTGGCACTTCATCACTGTCCTAAAATCATTAGTCTGTCTTGTTTTAGAAAAACTGACACTAAAATAAATATATCGGTAAATAGTATCGTCAAGTACTTGTGGAAAAGTATCAGTACTCGTACCCGGTCTGGAAAAAATTGTATCGGTGCATCCCTAGTTAAAACCTCTGCCAGGCAATCTGATTGATGTCTGTGTACCACTGAGGAAAATTTTCCTTCTCTTCCCGTTACAGAGATGTAACAGGAAGTTAGAGGAAATTTCCCAAAGTGAGGGGAATTCCTGTCTAAATCTCACCATACACTGTTCTAATTTTTTTGTTGAGCCAGTGGGTTGAACGAAAAAAGTAGAACAGATTTCTCCATCAATGCTTACAAGCATTGATGGAGGAATCAACCGCTGTTTCCTTTGTATTCTGACATCGGCCGACGGAAGTTGTCAGAATACATGAACTGTGCTTGCAGCTGAGTGGATAGATGCGTCTGGAACAGGTATCCATATTGAAAGATTTCTTCTTACCTCTTGTTCTAGGGACAACTCAGGACTTCCCCTCACTTTGTTTCTGTGACAATGGTTACTATTAAAAATAATGAATCTCCCCAACGGGGACACAGGCAGAAAACCAAACTTGAATGTAGGTGAATCCCAGGGGTAGACAACCTTGGCAGTCCAGCTGTTGTGTAACTATAGATCCTATGAGGCATTGCAGGACTCCGTGAGCTACAAGCATGTCTCCCAGAGGCAGAAGCATGATGGGGTTTGTAGTTTCACTACAGCTGGGGTGCTGAGGTTGCCTACCCCTAGTCTAAACCTTGCATATTGCTTTTTGTCCCCCTTTTAAAAAAACAACAAACTAATAAATGCACATCTTCATAAAGGCAAAAATGTCCATTTATTATTTGTTTGCATTGGAGCCAGTAAAGCGTTGCAACTGCAATCAGTGGATTGCGGGTACAATGCTCTGGCTCCTGCAGATTCTTCCTTCCGTCCCAGTGCGTACTGAGGTACAAATATTCAGTAACATGGACGGAAGAAAGAATGAGTGGACTACTCTGACGTCACCACACTTGTATTCCATTGAGAACCTCTGCCATGATGGCTGGTGGTAGTGTCTCTATTCACAGATCCTGTCAAAGGATCTTAATGTGATCGTATTTCATGTTACCCCCTGAATGTGGTCTGAAAAGTAGACTTGTAGCCAGTGTGGCAGTGCATGGCAATGCCATTGTGGTATCTCCATTCCTGTGTCCAGAATCTGAGTGGCCAGCGCATGTGTTCAGGACTCCACCTGGGAGACAGGAAAGCTCCACCCAGGAGACAGAGTGGAGTCCAGTGCAGCAGGGTGCTGCGGATTGGGAAGAACCCCCAGTGTGCAGGTTAGCACATGACTGAGGCTGTCTGGAGGAACAGACAGTGGGCTGAGGCCGGAGCAGCGGTGCTGCAAATGCAAAGCCAGGAGGCTGGATGGGCAGGTGCTGCCATGAGATGCTAAAGAACCCCTGCGAGGGTAATTGTTCTGTTTTGTGGACTTTCATTTAATAAAAGTGGGCAAGGAAGCCCTTGAATGAAGATTACAGCGAGTGGATGTGTCCTTTATGCGCTACTATTTGGAGCTAATCCCCACACCAGCTATATACAATTGGAAATGTACTGTACCTTTCCAAATGTAATCTACTGATAACCACCCAGTGGGGTGTGTTTGAAAAATGCCAGGCAGCAAAATGTAAACATTGATAGCAGCTAAAAGATACATCTAGTTTTATTAATGCCTGTTAGACATGTGCACTGGCAAAAGACTTGTTTTGTTTTTCGGGATTCAATTCGATTCGGATTTGGACAAAATTCGTTAGTGGTAATCTGGACGCAATTTTCATTTGTTGGACGAAATTTCATTGCAGCAAAATGACAGAAAAAATAAACTTTTTTTTTTAGTCTGCAGAAGAAAAAAAAAAGCGTGAGGTTCCCCCCCAATTCATACCAGGCTCTTTAGGTCTGTTAGGAATGTTAGGAGGGACCCCCCCAAGTTGAAACAAAAAAAAGTACATGGGGTTCCCCCAAAATCCATACCAGGCCCTTTAGGTCTGGTAGGAATTTTAAGGGGGAACCCCAGCCCCCCAAAAAGGATAAAAAAAGTGGGGTCCCCCCTAACATTCCTACCAGACCCTTGATCCGAGCACTGGCCCGGCAGGGCAGGAAAGGGGACGACGACGACGATCAAAAGCCCCTCCCTCCCTGCGCCTTACCAGGCCTTGTGCCCTCGGCATTGGGATGGTGACAAGGGCCTCTTTCCGACAACCCTGACCTGGTGGTTGTGGGGGTCTGAGGGCAAGATTGCTTCTTTGCATCGGGGTACCACTTTAATTAAGGGGGCACCCAAATGCCGCCGCCCCATTGTGAATGAGTAAGGGGTAGTTGTACCCCTACCCATTCACTAAAGGGTTAAATAAAATAGTTATTAGAAAGTCCAGACTATTGATAAAATCCTTTAATTGAAAAAAACAAACAAACAAAGAGCCAATTTCTGACTATTCCTTTAATAAAAAAAAAAAAATGGCTCCATCGATGTAATTCAGCGTCAATCACAATGCACGACGCCCGCCGACCCGCTGCAATAAAAAAAGTCCCGCTGCACGACGACCGTCCGAACCCGACGAAAACTCACCGCAAAATGACATTCCTGCTCGAAAGTAAACAGATGGGCGGAGCGAGCCGTGACGTCAGTTTCCTAATGCCATTCGGGTCTGTGAGCCGAGGTGTCATATGAAAAGCATTATGACACCTCCAATTTTGATTCGGAACAAAACGAATTGCACATGTCAAATGCCTGCTGGCTACTGTATGTGCAAGTACAGTGCTCTGAAACTCAAATCAGGCTAAAGACACAAAAGGCTAAAAATGACATTTCTGAACAGGTTTTGCTGCACCACCATTATATTTAGTCCCTCTCCACACTACGCGATGCAGGAACAAATGTGAACACGCGTTCGTGCATGGTTTTTATCACTCGTTGCTCATTGATTTCAATGGGTGCCGCATGCACGGCAAAGTAGCTCATGTAGCCAGAGCCGGATTTACTCTCTTACTCTCTCTGCTGCCCCAAGGCCAGGTTCTTCAATGCGCCCCACCCACCAAACCCCCCCATGCCCTCTATTGGAGAATGGCAGACCTGCAGGCTGCAGAGAAGTGATCTTAGCGACATCGCTGAGATCACTTGTAAAAAACAAGCGGCTGTACATTTAGCTCTGCTTGCCCAAAGCAGGGCTAAATGTAGAAAACAACTTACCGCCCAGCGCCTGGAACTGCGTGTCCCGGGCATCGGGAGATAGGAATTACACACCCCTGCTGCCCCTCTACTCCCTGCTGCCCCGAGGCTGGGCCTTGGTTGGCCTTGTGGGAAATACAGCCCTGCATGTAGCATTTTCAGCTGCTAGCATCCCAAGTTTTCTCTTTCATGCTTGTATGTGTGTCCTCGCACATTTACCAGCTACGTTTCGGTTGCCATTAACAACTAATGACACTGCAAGGATGATGTATGTTCTGAAACGTGTCGCGTGAATGCTCTTCCAAGCACGTGCTGTGGCGTGTGTTCCATCAGGATTACTATAATCATATAGTGCATGGTTTATTGGAGTGTGCCTCTGTCTGCCAAAGAAATTTATTATCCTGGTCTGCTAAGCAATCTTCTATCAAATTCAGCAAGAAGTGGCTCCATGCTGGTTGCAAGGCTGTAAGGGCTCATTTACACAGGTGTTCATGTATGTACACTGCCCAGAACAGTGTATTTCTATGGCGGATATGGCAAGGTGTTTATGTTCGGCGGTGGATAGGAAGCCTGTACAAGTTAATGACAGGCTAGCACTGTCCATATGTGCTTGCTCAAGGAGACACTATATGCAGCTGGGGACAGTTGAACGGCCCTGTAAGCAGACTGTTTGCATCCAGAGTCACTCATCTGCTCCTAACAGTGACATCAATGTGAAATACGGGTGTATATAGTCTAGCGTTTTTCTTTACATGTACATTTCGCAACACTATGATCTCTTCCTATCTATCTATCTATCTATCTATCTATCTATCTATCTATCTATCTATCTATCCATCTATCTATCTATCTATCTATAGGGCTTGAAACATTTTTAGGGTGTCTCACCAGTCAGTCAAAAATTGACTTGCAATTTATTTTAAAAAATAGAGCTTTCTTTTGGAGGTATATAA